GGCTGTGGATGTGATTTTGTAGTGAAAGTGGTGATTTTGTTGGTGGTTTTGTTCGTGAGGAGGAGGAGGAGGAGCTTATGACAACCTTCGGTTCGCTGCAGATCTACATTTTCCTCCTGCAAGCTGCTGCAGATATGCCTTTTCTCTCTTCTCTCACTTCTCTGACTTCGAAGCTGACAGCCAACGACGAATGAGATATGCCGGAGGGATGTGTGCGTGATTGGCAGCGCTGCACGTGATCTGTGAAGAAGTTGTGCGTCCCACTTTTTCTCCTCTATATCACAACCGTGGTGGCGTTGCAGATCTGTGAAGAAGTCGTGTAGGTTGTTATTGGTAGGTTACAAAATGGTGGTGGTGGCGGTGGCAATGGCGGCGTGAGGGTGGTCACAGATGGTGGTCTTGGTCATGGTGCTGGTGTTGGCGTGATGAGGGTGGTCACAGTTGGTGGTGGTAATGGCAATTACGGTGGTGCGTTTTGTTGATTGTTTTCCAATTTGTAGTATTTTGGATATGTTTTTTACGGTATAGCGACGATGTTTGAATTTGGCGGCACAAGATGAACTTTCGACCAAATATGTGTTGTTTGTAACCGGTTGTGACCGAGTGTGACTTTTGTGACCGAATGTGACTGTTTATGACCGATTGTGACTCGTTGTGACCAATTATGATCGATCGTGACTTGAAATTCTACAAATTTTTTTATAGTGGATGGATGATGTGGGTAAGTTGATCAAAGCATGCGTTGGAGTGGTTATTGGAGCAGTTGGAACTGTCATCGGAGTGGCCACCTGAGTGATCGCGCAGAACAGTCGCCGAAGTATATGGTCGCCTCCGATGGAGAGAATGGGTAAGGAGAGGATAGAGAGTAGAGAGAGTGATTTGGATTTGAAATTTAATAAATTGGGATAATTGTATTATATTATAATTAAAAATATTTAATAAAATGATTTGACNGTGTGTGTGTGTGTGTGTGTGTGTGTGTGTGATTTTGATTTGAAATTTAATAAATTGGGATAATTGTATTATATTATAATTAAAAATATTTAATAAATTGATTTAACACCTGATTTTTGAAAAGATTTTTGAAATTTGTTATTTATGAAAAGTGATCTTTAAAACAAGGAATTATGTATTGTTCCCTAAAACAAAAGGTGTAGACTATCAATCCACTCGAATGGACTTTAATGTGATTGGCCCAACTAAAATTTTAACCGTTATCTATTTTTTAATAGGCCAAAGATAAACTAATAAAATTAGGTCAACGGGTACGGGGTGTTACACCTCTAATTGGGAACTATGTAGAACCCAATCACTTGGCTAAACAACAACTGTAAGCCTCTGCCAACAATAGAACGAAAAACATGTCCAAAATTTGATAGAATCAACCTAAAATTCAGCACAATAAGCTCATGCATGTACACAACCAATTGCTTGAAAAGTGTTTCAAGGCATGAAACTCAACAAAATCTTGAAATTTGTACCTAATTATAACTTCCAACATAATAATGAGAGAATATGACCACAATACCCCTAAAAATATCTATAAAATGGAATTCAGTGCAATAAGCCCATGCATGTACATAAGCAATTGCTTGAAAAGTGTTTCAAAGCATGAAACTCAACAAAATCTTGAAATTTGTACCTATTTATAACTTCCAACATAATAGTGAGAGAATATGACCACAATACCCCTAAAAATATCTATAAAAGGGACCATTTGCACAACGAAAAAATGATTGAAAATCTAAGATCCAATTTTTCACTCTAAAGAAGGAACATCAAATACAAAGAAAAATATGGGTCAACAATCTCGAAAATTCAAATATTCTCACATATAAGCACTATCCGGCCAAAGTAACACCGGAATCTCCATCCAACTCCTTTTCTACAACCAATTGCTTTCAAAACTCACAAAAATTTCCAAGAAAAGGAAAAACCTTGCCCAAATTTGGATAGAAAACTTGATTGTTGGTTTAAAAATATATTATCCATTTTTTGAGGTCAACAATAGTTCTACGTGAATGTTGATTTTTGAGCGTCCCAAAGTTGGTCTCTTCAATTCAGTATATTGGATTGAGAGATAATCTGTTTAAATTATCCAATAATCAAGTTGCAAAGCTTGATAATTATATAAAAAACATATAACATAAATTTAAAAAAAAATATTAGTATAATTCAATTTACTTAGATAGTATGTTTATAATCAGTTTCAGGATTTATTTTGTAATCAACAGCATCAAGTTCAGATAAAAGAGGAGGAGATGAAGAGTGATTGCTAGCATACACATCCATATACATAGCCAGACAAAAAGGTGTGCAATCTGGTCAAAAACTACGATTTTTTAAAGTTCATTCACTGTAAGTTCTCTTCTTTGTTCTAGTGGTTGGCATCCTTAGAGAGAGTTGTCTCACGTTTCTAGTTATTCTCTACCTACCCACCTATGTTGGTTTCGGGGTACATATATCCTTTTGTTTAAAGGTTATTCAAGCTTTTCCTGATTACTTCAACGATGAAGCGCCCATTGCTCAACAATGGCTCGAGGCATTACTTTTCTTATAAAAAGGTTTGACCTACTCCCGACTAGTAATTCTTGTCAATTACTATTCGTTGATAAATACTAGTAGGAAGTGACATAATAATGCTTAGTTGTTAATATATCTACTAAATCAATTGTAAGCAAAATAGATGCATTTGGGTTGACACAATTTGATTACTTGACTATAGAAAGAGCTCCTGATAGATGAAAAATGCATTGGCTAATATATTAGTTTTCATCTTCAAAAAGAATTAAAAAAAATTAGTAGATTTGATGTATATTTTTTGGAATAGATTTTGTAAGTGATTTTTTTGAGAATTTGTGACTAAAAAGTAGGTAAATATTATGAATTCACGTATAAAAAAAAATTTATTAGAAAAATGTGTGATTAAATATGAATTTTATAAAATCTCTACCAAACAAAGACTATATGAATGTTTTGAAAAGAGGGAAAAAATAAAAGTCATGTATTAAGTATGTACTAAATCAATTTTCAGACATTAGTTTAAACATGCAAAAGTCAAGTGTTAATTCTATTTTAATTTTAAATAATAATATAATCAAATTAAATTAATTTATCCCCCACCCTACCCTTCCCTTGTGGACCAATTGCCGACATCCACCAGTCATCGGCATCCATCTCTCCAGTGAGGAACATGAGTATCAACAACTCAAATAGTAGATATAGAGGGAGAAACACAGTGGCCGTTGGAAAACATCGACTGGTGTAATTTACAGAATACTTACCGGAGCAAACAACTTCTATTCTTACCGTCGAAATCTAGTTAACTGAATTTGTGACCATATCTCTTGAATTTGCGACATGTGACCTATACACTTTAATATATGATCTGTGACATGATCCAATGGCCTATGACCAAATCTTGGATATGTCATATGTGACCTGACCTAATGGTCTGTGACCAAATATCTTTTATCCGTGACTTGTGCTATGCACTTAACATGTGACATATGACATGATTCAATGGCTTGCGAATAAATCTCTTGGTCTATGACCAAATCTCTTGAATTCGTGACTTGTTATGCACTTTGATATATGACCTGATACGTGTGACCGTAACCTAATCCAATGGTAGGTGAACAAATCTCTTGAATCTGTGACATGTGACCTGATCCAATGGCCCGTAACCAAATCTCTTAAATATGTGACCTATGACCTATACACTTTAACATGTGACCCGTGCACTTTGACAAGTCACATATTCAAGAGATTTGACCACAAAAACTCAATTGGCTACAACCTACACATCGCCACCATTACCATTTACCACCAAGGGACGCTGATTTAATCTCAACATTCCACCACAACCACCACTATAAGACTCCACCACAGCCACCATTATCACACTACCACCATCACCACTAACAACCCAACAACTAAGCAAATCACCAACTCCAAAACTCTCCTCTTCAACGTCTACAAATCCATTACAAAACACCAACTTCTAGCCACCATGTCCACCGGATTCCAACACCAATAAACTCCCATCTTCAACCTCTACAAATCCATTTTGTGATGGAAGAAGTATTGTTAATTGAGGGTAGCGGATATTCTGATATTTGATAAAATATTTTTTATACTTTATTTTTGAAAGGTTTGTTATATTGTCATCACAATTTTTATTTGATATATCACACATTTTAATTGCAGTTAAACTTCTCAATTTTTACTCATTGTAGCAATTATTTTCTTAAATTTTTTTTCATGACTTCTTTTCTTCGACCTTCCATTAATTTGTATGTCTCGTCCTTGATCATAATTTACATCAAAATATTTTGTTTTCATATTTTGAATTTAGGAAAAACTATTTTTTTGCATTTTTTGTTTATTTATTTTTTAAAACTATGATGAGAGAATAAATTGTTTTATACCATTTCAATGAACTTCAGGACATAAAATTGTTATCAAATATAAATCGTGTTAACTAATAGAAAATTTTAAGGATAAGAATGACATGAAAAATCGTTAGAGATATAAGTATTATAATGAGTCACGATTAAAAATTTTAAGTACAATTAGAAGGTAGTGCCAAAAAAAAATAAAAAAAATTGGGGTATAAATATAATTAACTTCTTGAAATGATAAATTAAAATGTAAGGGTATAAGTTAATTTTACCTAATATTAAAAATGCCAGCTGCCAAGTGAAGTGGGCCTGATGATGTCTGCAGTGGATCCAAACGGAATTGACTTCGGTCAACCTGTCCCCAGCTTGTTTTTATTTTGTACACTAGTTCCAATTGTTAGATGATGCTTTCTATAGTCTTCAAGTACAACTATTTTTAGCTATGTAATTGCAGAAATTTCAGGTAAGGATACCGTACAGGATTGGTCCACTTCAGGTGAATTCCTCTAGTTTTCCCTTCTCCTCCTCGTTATTTCAGTGAACACGTGTAGATACACGAATATATTTCGAGGGAAAATCTGGAGAGAGAGAGGTGGAATGGAGGAACAGCGTGGTAACGTCAGCGAAGAGGTGCTGGGGTCTAGCTTAACAATGGAGAAAGTTGCTGCGGCTAAACAGTACATCGAGAATCACTACAAGAATCAGATGAAAAGCATCCAAGAGCGCAAAGAAAGGTATGTATATATACACAGATGGATATACACATGTATCTAATGTGGCGGAGTAGGGCTATAAATAAATTAGCTTGATTTGTAATTTAAGTTTGGATAGCCCAAGATCTATTGTTGCTTTGATTTTTTGGATTTTTTCCCAAGTAGTTGCTAGATGAAGTTTAAGGTCATGTTGTTCGAGACATTTCCACATAACTCGAATTAGGAACGGATACATATGCTGAAATTTAGTTGATGGTTTGTTAATTTGTTACGGGGAATCAGAAGGGTATCTGTTTATAATGAGTTCTTGTCATTGTGGTTATGCTGTGAAAGCTCTATATTCAGTTTGGAGCTCAGATATGAATGCCATTTAGAAGTTGGGGTTTATAGGGGGATCTAGTTGGTAGTAACTATCTTGATTTATTTTGTGTGGGGGGTTGGGGGGGTTAATTTTTTGCGAGTTGAGGAATGAGTCCTTAACTGGAATATGGATTGTGGGCAATTTGTAGGTTAGACCAGAATGGAGGATCTATTGCAGTACTTTCTATGATATTTGCACTTAGTTTAGGTAGGAAGATTGACCAAGAGTAGATTCCTGCTTGGAATGTGAGAAGCAACCTTTAGGAAGAGTTGATTCTCAAGATGGAAGCCGTTGAATATCCCGTCATTGTCCACCAATACTATGGAAGGAAGGCTGTTTTCATTGCATCGACCAATAATATCAAAGGAAAGCTGATTTCGTTCCTTTTTCGTGTGAATGGCTGCAATTTGTAGTTGGGATACTGCTGAAATCTATCCAAACGAAACTAAATTTCCCTTGGACTGGGAAAATAGACAAATTATATGCTGTTTGCGTCTAATATATAGGAAAACAAATTAGTGGCAGGCAATTCACGTGATCAAAGATGTCGTTATTGGCTCTGTTTGGACATTCGTTTAAACCATTCATTTTAGTCTGCAGTCATCTTGTGGAGTGTGGACAAGAGATGACGTTTAAAGTGGCTTAGGAAAATCCAACTGTGGTTTAGTTATTCGGGAGCAGTATTAGATACAGGATCTGGACAGATATTTTTGCGACTGATTTTAGATGAGACCAATTCAATCAGTAACCACTTTCTTTTTTCTTTTTTTCTTTTTACATCTGTTACATTCACCGATACCTATTTTGATGGCAAAGAATTAATGTTACTTACCATTAATATCTTGAGATCTTGATATCCTTTTACAGAAAGTAAAATTAAATTTATGCTTTTCTTGAATGTTGTTACTGCCAATGGTTAAATCTGGCTCATATGAAGGCTACAGGCCCGTCAACTTCATAGAATTCGGTTACAATTTCTACATTCCAGATTAGTGTTTATTAGTGTTGCAGATTCACTAGTTAAGTTTTGACGTTCTATGCTTTTCACTTCAGGCGATGGATATTGGAAAGAAAGTTAGAATCATCCGACTTTCCCGAAGAAGAACAGATAAATCTCATCAAGGATTTAGAGCGAAAGGAGACAGAATTTATGCGGTTGAGAAGGAACAAGATATGTGTAGAGGATTTTGATCTTTTAACCATAATTGGACGAGGAGCTTATGGTGAGGTTGGTGATTTGCATGCACTTCTCTCTGTAGATTTTATGATTTTTATTTTCTCCAAGTTATCTTGCCTTATTACGATGTTACATATATGAATTGTGTTGCTAAGATGACGACTCTACTAGATCTCAGTATTTCCTTAAGTGAACGTTTGTTCCAAACAGGGAGGGCCTAGAACTTGACTTCAGGGTGGGCTAGAATTTAGCTTTGGACTAGACATGGATTGTTAGAGTGGGCTAAATATTTTTTGGGACTATTTTATAAAGTAAAAAAAAGTTGGAGCCAAATTTTAATGAAATGAAAAGGGAAAATAATTTTTCTTCCCCAACTTCACACTGGGCTACAGCCCAATAATTTAAAGGCATACTTGAAAAAGTTTCTAAGTATGATATTATGGCTTCTTTCAATCAATTGATTATCAAGATTGCGTTATTTTTCTTATTTTGAATCATTTGCACATGCTTCTTATCCCTGCTATTATCTTTGCTAGGTATTTTGACATTCTTTTGGCTTTTCTTTAGTAAACCTAAGAAAAATAAATATATATTTCATTCCATTCACCGATTTATTCTCCTCTTTGCTTCTTATAAATTTAAAATCATCAGGTTCGATTATGCCGGGAGAAAAAATCTGGCAATATTTATGCCATGAAGAAGTTGAAGAAATCTGAAATGCTTTCAAGAGGACAGGTTAGTAATAAATAGGAGTGTTCTTATTAGTTAAACAACTTTCTTTGACCCGGTAGCTAGTGCATTGGTTATTCAGTATTTAATTCACTTAACATGCTCAGTCTCTCAATTGATGTTAGTGCATTGGTGGCTGCTTGTTTTGTGGCATGAAATATTGGTATCATGCTCAGAGACTGCAGAGTGGAAAATATCAATTGATGTTAGTGGATTCTCATGTATCGAGAACCCTAATGCATCAACATCAATAGATCTCCTTTGGGGGTGGGGAGGGGGGGGGGGACCTAACTTGTGATGGCAGCCCAAACCTTTCTGTTTTTGATAAGTAAATATTTTATTATGAAGCCATTGAAAAAGGGGGATCAGATTAAGGACAGAGATTACATATCGAGATTGAATCTAGATACCAGAAACTCAGAAAAGATAAGAAAGAAAGAAGAAAGGGAAAAAAGAATAGAGTATAAGCTTATCTTAAATACCATGTGTTACAAAAAGGAAAAGAAATGACAAAATTTCAGACTCTATTGAAAATTGTGCATTTCCAAGCTATTCCCCTTCCTTTGCATGACCTTTTGTGAATGAACTGAAAATTAATGGCGAAGACAAGCGTTCAAATAATGAATCCCTGTTAGTTCTTTCTACTTCCGTGTCTTCTTTATCTTCTCCAAATCTCTTTTCTTCCTGCTCTTTAGATGATTAAAAAACACAGTGAAGCAAAATGGAAAGTATATTTTAGGCGTAAATGAAATCAAATCAAGTAGTATAGGATTTTCCATTATTACGTTTTATTGACTTTGGTAAGATAGTTGAGTTTGTCTCCCTATTAAAATAAAATTCTAGCTTTCCTTATTAGTTATAATTTTCCTTTTTCAATATAGTTTAGAACATATAAAAAGAGGCTCCTTGATTGTAATAAAGTACACTTGATTATTGAATAAAATACAATCTCCCTCTTATTTCTCTTCCTTCTCCTTTCTTTCTCTTAATTGTTCTTTTGTTCATTACACTTGTCATCAATTAAGGAATACCTATCATCGGTGATCTAATTGTGCCTCTTGGGACCGACTATAGATTAAGATGTCATAGAAATTGAAAAAGGTCGCATGACATAGGTCATGACCCGCATGAAAGGATTAGATGCATTAGACATCCCAAAAGGCATGCTCAACCATTCGCACAAACCATTTTGAGTCTTAAATGCCATTTGACATTCATCTACTGGTCTAATTCTAATTTGATAATAACTACTCCGTAGATCAGTTTTGAAGAACCACAAAGATCCTGCCAACTCATTTAACATATCATCAAAGCATGGGATAGGAAACTGATACTTAATAGTGATTTTGTTGATGGCACAACTATCAACACACATGCGTCAAGAGCTATCTTTCTTAGGGGTTAGTAAGATCGAAACAGCACAAGAGCTGAGGCTAGGCAAATAAAACCTTTATCTAATAAAGCCTTAATTTGCCTATTGAGTTCAGCTCGCTTAGCGGGGTTCATCCTATAGTGGGGGCAATTTAGTAACTAGGAACCAGGGATGAGATCGATAGCATATTGAATATCTTCCATAGGGGGAGCTCATAAGGTAGGTTGGTAAGAGTAATATCTCTAAACTCATTTAGCAAAGGAGTGATCTCTGGTGGAAAGTCGATGTGTGAATAAGAGGAATGTGAACAAGCTTTGCCAACCAAGGCAAACATGAGCCCGGTGTTGTGAATCAGAGGCAAGAAAATGCAGATGGCGAAGATGGCAGCGAGAAGGAATGCAGCAAACCAAAATTGTCTTCGATCAGGACAAACAGCAGCGGGTGGCAGCGAAATGAACGACAGTAAAAAATATGAATAGCAGCGGACAAGCTGCAAAGAAGGGTGACGTGAGGAAGCAAACGGCAAGGCAGTGAGAAAAGAGGAAAATATGTGACTCAATTAAGTATGTTGATGGTGGTAAATACCGTAGATGTGCACGCGAATGGTCACACAGGAGAGAGTACAGATGCAGCAAGGGAAGAGGGTGGTTGTTTTTGGTTGGCAGCGGCACAATGGGGAAATGGTTGTGGGAGAGATGGGTTGAATGTGGGTTGTATGTTGGGTTTTGGTTGTGGGCTCTTTGGGCTTTATAATTAATTGGGCTTTTGGTGGATGAAGGTTTGATGTTTGTGGACATGCAACAGTTGATATATGTGGGTGTAAGGTTTGTGTATAGTGGGCTGAGATTTGAGAACAACAGCAACAGGTTTATGATGTCTCTGCCATTGAAATTTTTGAACTATTCCTTTTTTTTTTTTGACAATGAACAACTAGAAAGCATAATTTAAATCTCTAAATTTGTCTTAGGTTGAATAGCTTTAATGGAGGTGGGCTGTTGATTGTGTTGAGTTTTCTTTTGGGAAGGTTGGGTGGTGGCTGCTGTAATACCGGATGTGAGTAACAGTTCGGCCAAAGGAGAACGTCAAGCTCTAATACCAAATTGATGACAAGTGTAATGAACAAAAGAACGGTTAAGAGAAAGATAGGAGAAGGAAGAGAAATAAGAGGGAGATTGTATTTTATTCAATAATCATGCGTGCTTTATTACAATCAAGGAGCCCCTTTTTATAGATTCTAAATTACATAGAAAAAGGATAATTACAACTAATAAGGAAAAGTAGGATTTCCTTTTAAAAAGGAGACAAACTCAACTATCTTACCAAAGTCAATATATTCTAATTGATTTGATTTCGTTTACGCCTAGAATATACTTTCCATTTTGCATCACACTATTTGTTTGAAGAGAAGAGAAATATACATTGTTGATCTACAGGTTAAGACATGCAACATGGAGGCTTCTATAGTTTAGAAGACATAGGTTTGCTTGCTTCAGGCTTTATATAGTTGATGTTAGGGATAAAAGGTTGGACAGAAGTGAGTTAATATTTTAACCAGATCTAGACAGAAGCATTATATTCCACTGATATAGACTTAAATATACGGAACTGCTTAATATCAAAAAAGTCCTGATACTGAGGCAAGGTGAAGCTAAAAGGTGAACGGTATGACACGTTCCTTTGCCAAAGCTCCTTTGAAGCATCATCACATTTGTTTGTAAGGGTGATTAGTTAATTTTTTTGTTTTTACATTTTTTAAAAGAATCAATTGACAGAAACATATGGAAGGCACGCTTGGCTAAGCTTAAAAAAAATGTAAAAGTTAATCTCCAACATGTAAAGTTAAATTTTTATACTTTTAAATTAAAAAATTGGTTAATTTTTGGAAAGTAACTCCTACCCTACCGTAAAAATAAGTAATTTATTTCCAACTTAACCCAAAAAAAAATCTTATTATATTATATCTTGCTTATTTACTTAAAATAACATTTTAAACATAGCTGAACATGCTCTAACTCTATTCTATAGGTTAATGTCTCCATCCCTCCAAGCATACCTTCTTCCTCTTCCTACAAATTGCTCACAAGTCCTTGTCTCATTCTAGAGCTTCATCTCCAATACCACAATCATCAACCAATTTATTGTCTCCAAAGATATCTCAAAAGGAATACGACTCAAGTATACATTTCTATTGCGTGATTATTGGATATGAACTGCTGATGGTTTTGCTGGTTCTTTATAATTGGCTGAAAAATTATTTTATCTTATTTTAAGGTTTCAATACTTGGAATAGTTAAAAAGGTTCTCTTGTAAGAAAGTCACAGTTATCCATTTATTATGGATTTCTTTTTAGGTAAGTGTTTGGAATAGTTAAAAAGGTTGTTTTGTAAGTAAGTCACAGTTACGAGTTATCCTTTTACTATATGAATGTCTTTCAGAAAGTGTGTGCGCCTGTTGTTTGCTTCTGTCTCAAAACTATGTGCCTATCTTGGCAGGTGGAGCATGTTAGGGCTGAGAGAAACTTACTGGCAGAAGTGGCCAGCCACTTCATAGTAAAATTATATTACTCTTTTCAAGACGCTGAATATTTGTATCTTATTATGGAATATCTCCCTGGTGGCGACATGATGACTCTGCTTATGAGAGAAGACACTCTGTCTGAAAGTGTGGCTAAATTTTACATTGCTCAAAGTGTCCTGGCAATTGAATCCATTCACAAGTATAATTATATTCACAGGTGAGTCTTCAGCTCTCTGCATTTTTAACAAATTATTGTATGTTATAATGAAATCAATGGTGAATTAAGTCGTACTAAAGAAGTTGTATTGCTAACTTTTTTTTCTTTTTGTCTCCTCAGGGACATAAAACCTGATAACCTGCTTCTTGATAAAAATGGTCACATGAAGCTCTCAGACTTTGGTCTTTGCAAGCCTCTTGATTGCCGAACTCTGTCTACTGTGAATGAGAATGAGGCCATGGATGATGAGAATATAAGGCAACCAATGGATATTGATGGTCGTTTTGCAGATGCTGCTAATGTTGGTAATTGGAGAAGTCCTCGTGAACAACTTCAACACTGGCAGATGAATCGGAGAAAGTTGGTAAGAAAGCATTAAATAAACTCCGAATCTTTCTTCTCTCATCCCCACACCCAGGGGAAAACTCTCTGCTGGCTTTAAGTCATGTTTGGAGATATGTGAGATAATGCTTTAAGTAAAAGGAAAACTTGGTAATAGGAAAATATGGAGTCAGGCCTATAAGATAACTGTCCATACATTTGCACCAAATATGAGGCTGTTTTGTTGTTATTGTCTTTGATGCTAAGAAACATTCTGAATTTGTGAACACCTTGAATTCTTTGTTGAGTTGTATTTTCCTGTTTCAAAGCTTGTTAGTTCAACTGCTCTTTTCTATGAAACTAAATCGAATGTCTTTTAGAATTCAATTTTAGGTCTACGTTAACCTTTGTTCTCCTGATACTTTTGGAATGGGTAGAGGGAACCACTGCTAGATCAACCTTCTGGTTTCTACTAATGGTGTAGACTATATGTAGATGGTTGCCAACCCACAATTGTTAGATCAAATTCACATGGACAAAAATACTTGTGTGAAGAAAAGTCCACCATGATCACAGAAATTTGCAGACTTACGAGTGAAATGATGACTATCATACCATATTTCTTGGACGAAATTCTGGAAAGTTATAAGCCGTACCCTCTCATTAGATTTGAAAATTTCCAGTTCTTATATGCAGCCTTCTGTCCTGTTCTTTTATTTAGATCAGGTGCTATATATTGGGTATGCCTACTGATTCTTCTAATACATGATACTTCATGTTTGCACAAGTAATCATCACATCCTCTCTCTCTCTATCTCTTTTCGTTCAAAAGGCATTTTCGACTGTGGGTACTCCAGACTACATTGCTCCAGAAGTGCTACTGAAGAAGGGATATGGCATGGAGTGTGACTGGTAAGTTTCAATTCCTTTTTCACCTTTAATAACATCAATCGTACTTCATCATTCTTGGCTTACCAATTCTTAAAACATTTTCATCTTTAATAAGTCTGTTTTGCTTGGATCTCATTTGAAATGACATATAATTGTAACTATTTTATATTCAATTTTTGAACAGTAAAATGCTCTGTCACAAGCCTTCATGAGTCCAATCATGTAAATGTGGGGGGACTTTGTTCTTACTGAAAAATTACCAATAATGGTTGAGTAGAGAACTTTCAGTATTGTTTCGGCTTCTGAGATTAACAATGCATTTTTTTTTTTTAATTTGAGAACCACATCATGGCAAACCATGTTTGGGTACCCATCTTAATTCCTTTAGGTAACTCAATGGAGACCCCACTTTTCTTTTCTTTTCCTTTTATTCCTTTATTTTTCTTCCTCTGTTGTGTGGTGTGTTTCTTTCTGTTTTGTTCTGGGGTGGGGGTAGCGAATTATGCTATGTATCAGTTCGTGTAGACGGCTTTTCTGCATTGCTCTGTAACTGTGAGGAGCTGAATTAATGGAAAATCTGGTTACTGGCTTGTGTTAATGGAAAATCTGGTTACTGGCTTGTGTCTACTAATAAATTTACTCTCTACGTTACGGCTTGCACTTGTTAGGATTGCACTTGTGTGACTTTGCTGTTTGTTGATATGCTATGGCATAATTTTTGCTATCATTCACTTTGATGTCTTGAAATGAAGTATAGAATATACATCTATTTTCGGAGTCTGAGGGGACCCTAATTGATTTTGGACTGTGCATTATGCAGTATGGCCTCTGAATTTGTATTAGATTGTTAATTATAGCAGAGAGACAGAAGCTGTCCAGCAGAAAAGTGAAATGTTTCGTAGTTTGTATAATTATTACCACCTTATTGGGACGCTCATGCAGGTGGTCGTTGGGTGCAATTTTGTATGAAATGCTCGTCGGCTACCCTCCATTTTATTCAGATGAACCAATGACCACTTGCAGGAAGGTGACGTGCTTGTTATGTATATCTCAATTTTCTTTTCTCTGCTCCCTTTATATCTAACTTCTAATATTATATTGTTTCTAGCCATCATTATCTATTGACATGTTGGAACTGTTGTTTCTTTTATCATTATGTCTTAGAATGCCAGCAACTGGACCATTTTTTATGTACAGTTAACTAGATAAAGCTGAACTTTTGACGCAGGCACAATTATTTACCTTGTCGTAAATTCCCATGGCATGACATGATTTTCCAAAATTTTAGGTTTACAACGTACCAATCTACACATCCAGTGCTTTGCAATGTTAATGTGAATTGTGGAGCATATTCTTCAGACCCATTTCTCCTGTCTAACTTTCTTTCTAGTCCTGATACTTGGGTCTGACACATGTACCATGTATGAGTAATCTTAAAATACTTATCTTATTAAAAGTAACTAGTGAATAACAAGTCATTTCAGAAGAGTTGTCTAGTCATCATGACGGAGCACTCTATTGGCACGATATTTTGTAAAATGTATGCAAGGATAATTGCAGGAGTATGAGAGCAGAAAATGATTTCATCCACTTGTTAAGAGTTACCTTGGATAAGGTTTTTCTCTCTTTTTCTTTTTTTTTTGTTGTTTCCTTGTACATAACTTGTCAGTATGTCTATAATAAAATGAAGATTAGAAAAGATAAAGAAACACTTCCACTGTAAAGAAACACTTCCACTGTATAGTTGTGCCAAGGATTACATCGGTGCAATTATTTTTTGATAAGGTACATTCATGATTGCCAGATAGTTCATTGGCGAAATCACCTGAAATTTCCTGAAGACTCCAAATTGAGTCCTGAGGCTAAAGATTTGATCTGTCGGTTACTCTGTGATGTGGAACATAGGCTTGGTACTGGAGGAGCAGGGCAGATCAAGGTATGGTTGTACACAAATTAGATCTCTCTCTCTCTCTCTCTCTCTCTCTCTCTCTCTCTCTCTCTCTCTCTCTCTCTCTCTCATTACAAACAAATGTGTGTAGGCTCATCCTTGGTTGAAGGATATTGAATGGGATAAGCTATATGAAATGGAAGCAGCCTTTAAACCAATGGTTCATGGGGAGCTGGACACCCAAAACTTTATGAAGTTTGATGACGTAAGCATAGATCTCTTTACTTCTTTATTAAGTCGTGTTACGTTCTCTATTCTACTGAAATTATTGGAAGTTTGGCAACTTGCAGTACCTAAGACAGTACATATTATTCTTGGCAAATAGCTATTCAGCTTCAGATTGCTACATTATATGCCACGGTTTTCAAGGATTATATTGTACTCTAATATACTGATGTAACTTATCATATTGTAATAGTATCAAGATTATATAAACAAGGGTCCTTTGGTACGTGATAAGCTTATGTCCGTGAAGAGTGAGTTTTATGCTTGGCAACTTCTATTAATTAGTAATTTAGTATATACCACTTTCAAAGGTTTTGCAAATCTCTTGTTCATTCGCGAGTTTTTCATGTTCTTTGGGACTTCTTTTTTATGTCATGCCCATGTGTTCTAATAGCATATCTAGACTTTTCAGGATGACATCTTTAAATCACAAGCTAGTTATGAAGAACCTAATTATTTTGTGCTATTGCGTCTTACATATCAATTTTTCATGTATACAGTGGCCTTGTTTGAAATTTCAGGTTTTATCTTTAGTATATTTGATATTTGATTATTGATTCGAC